CAGAAACTGAAAACAAAAGAAAAAAAATATGGCTTTGTATATTAGTATATTTTACCAGCTGGGCTAAAAATAACGAAATATTTAGCAGGATTAAAACCGATAGAACCTTTTTCTTTGTCGATTTCAATTTTATGCTGCAAAAACATTGACTTTGGATCGATCCCCGGAGTGTCGAGGAATTTTGTGGAATTGAATATTGGTGCATTGTCTTTGTACCATACAACCTTTAAAATAAAAAAGAAATAGATGGTTTTATGAATCAGTGAAACTGATGGTATAAACTTCAACTGCTTTTCCTTTCAAACAATCAGAAGCCTAAGAAACGACTTTTTTGCTGAAAGTAAATTTAAGACAGTATACATAAAAAAATTAAGTAAGCAAAAAAAAAAAGACATTCTCAATTTTTTTTAAGCTCTCCTTTCTTCTCATACTACTTTTTAGTAACCTTTCCGTTCAAGTAAAAAAAAAGGGAAAAATTGTCTACCAATAATTAAAAAAAACACCAACAATAATTATTTTTTAAAGCCATATTATAACCCTCATTTTACAATAACGAAGTTAAAAAAAGAAAATTCGGAGATTTACGTTACATACACCCATTATTATTAAACTGCAGAAAATTTACTTCAAACAAAGAAAAATTCCATTTTTTTACAACCCTAAATCAGTTATATGAAGGCGAAAAAAAACGGAAAAGAGCTGTTGCTGCTGCAAAATTAAACCATCAATGACATATGCTAAAAGATAAGAATAACAGAAAAGAAAAAGGCGCAGATGAGGTGAATAGATCTGTTATTGAAAAAAAAATTTAAGTATTTTTGTCCCCTCGTACGACACTAAGCCTGAAAAAAAACCTAACTAATCAATTCAGTTAGTGGAAAGTTAAATTCAACCAAAACCCAATAACAAGAACAGAACAGAACAGAACAGAACCGGAATGCTCAACAAATTCTACTCAAAAATACTCTTCAGATAATTCGCTTTGGTTAGTTTCATTAACACTGTTGACAACAATAAAAAAAAAAATAGACTTGTTTAAAATCAGTAAGAAGAAAAAAAAACAAAAGTAAAAAAGTTTTTTGTCCGTTCTTTTATTTTTCATCAGTTTTTGCTCTCCATTATGCTCTTTGCAAATTTTTTTTGCTGAAGAAACGCTTATTTATCGCAACAAAACTGCAGTTATTTTGTGCAGCAATAAGATAACAGTAGGAAAAAAAAGCTTTTCAATAATAAACACAAAACTTCAATTATTTTTTAACTGCTGTTTTTCTCCTTCTCCGTTCAGCAAATCCTTTTTATAAATTTTAGAGCATTTTTTTGTCCTCTCTTTTCCTTCTTCATTTCTTTGTATACTATACACTAAACAACTTATCATTGTCTTTGTAGTTTCAGGAATGACTCAAAAAAAAGTCGCAGTAGTAGTAAGAGTAGCGGCAGAATCAGTAAAGATAACATTGATAGATGCTTATTGTTTTTAGCAAAATTTTTTCTCAAAACCAAACCATAGTTTTTTATTTGTAAATAAAGATTGTTTGATCAACAACTGAAAGAAAAAAAAAAGAGGAAGTAGTACTGTTCAGAAATCAATGGGCATAGCAGCAAATAAATAAACTTATTTCTTAATTCAACAACAAACCAAACTTAATAAAACCGATTAATTAAAAGAAGATAACAGCAGAAAAAAAAAAAAAAAAAAAAG